TTTATTTGTATTACTAATGACTTACATGTTAAAATGGGCTGTTTTAATACGTAACGCCCCATATATCATCGATTATGTGGACATACACCACTTAATTTGCGATATAACCATACATTTCATGAAATCTCGTTATCACTTGTTCTTGGTATATCATTGCTCACATTCTTGGTTTTCAGTACGACAGCGTCGCAAGCAAAAAAAATTGGATTGTTGCACGGGGGATCAGACATTGTATATTCGTATAGCGTTCGTGCGCATAATGGGTAAATCTTGGACTCATTATACCAAAAAGGCTCTGTATTATTTATCTTTTTTTTTTTTTTTTTAATTGTATCTTTTCATTTAGTTAATAATTGTGAAAATTTTTGGTAATAAATCATCCGGGAGATTGAATTATGGTAGTCAGTCAGATGGATATAATCAGCACAGGTAGTACAATGAACCTTTTAGTGATATGCAACCTTTTATATTACGTATGAAAGAAATACGGAAAGAATTTCGATAATAAAGAAAATATTTGGAAAAGTTTATATAACACCAAATATTTTTTGAAATACTTGTGAAAATGATTTATTGTTTTACCATAGCGTTGCAAACTTAATTAAATTTAAAAGCAAAAATAATTTACAAAATATTATTGTTTAGTAATTATAAAAATTGCAATATGGGCCGTCAAAAGTAGAAACCAAGGAATTTGACAATTTTTTGAAAATTAACCTGTCTGATTAATCAGGTGTAAAATTTAAAGCCCAATCTTTTTACTTAATAACGAAAGTCTGATCACTTAATAAATTTTTGTGATACAACAGTTAAAAGCCTTTGACGCTATAATCTAAAAATAAATTTACTGAGATTTACTGTGCAATCTACAGTTCTACAGATTTAATAATCCTGTTTAAACAGGTTTGTTAATCTTGAATAAACTATTTTTAGATTGTTTTGATTTTGTGTAACAAAATAGTTTTTGTCAATTTTCTCAAAACTCGTGATCGGCCAAATTCCCTGGTTTCTACTTTTGAGGGCCCATATATTGTAATTAAATTTGTAATAATAAAAGCAAGATCTTATAACAGTAATATAATAATAATTTTGTCATTAATATAATATATACAGTTTGACGTAATGCCTTTTATTGTACGTACGTAGTTTAAATAACTTGTACGTATGTTAAACAATACTATCGGCCTTTAAATAATACAAAAATTATTAATTATACAAAAATATAATTAATTTCGATTTTTAGTTTTTATAATAACCAAATTAATTTAATTAAGTTAGCAACGTTATTCTATCAGGAGTGATCAACAAAGTTTAAATAGGATTTTATCAGTTAGTAGAATTATCATCAGGATTTATAATCAAGAAAGTCTTTATAAATTCCCTTTGTGAATCTAATCCATTAAGAAACCTTTGACGTATTTTTATTAAAATCTAATAATATATTATCCAATATGAGAAATAAACACATTTACCTAAAAACATTATTAATTTTATTCGCTTTTATAATACAAAATGATTCAATGGTTAGAGCACAGTTCGAACCTTTGGCAAAACTTTGGGGAGTAAAAAATGAAAAAGTACCAGAGCTATTAAACAGAGAGGCAAAATTAATTATGATAGACGGTAAATTACAACCGTTATTAAATAATTCATATTTTGGAGGAACATATATAGATGTAAAAGTGAATAAAATAAACATCAATACTGTTGACCAATCTAAGGTCAAAGAAGTGAAAAATTCTTTACAAATGAAAGAATATAAAAATTATTTAAGATTTAAAAAAGCAATTAACTCCTTGTCACAATTAAAATCCACATTCGTCAAAATAGTTAAATTAGCACAAAAATATAATATTAATAGCAAAATTGGTATCGAACCCGAAGCTAATAATGTTGTTATATATTTAAAAGATAAGAATGATCCAAAGAACAAGGAGTTTATTAAAAATGTTAAATTTTTCAAACCGAAAATAGTCTATTCATCTAAAAAGAAAAAAGGAAAAATGGTATTAAATTCATTCAATTCGTCTACTTTGGTGGAAAAGAGACAAATCAATCAAATTGTATTTGGTGGAGATAAAATTACCGCAAACTATGGGCCTTGTAGTGCAGGTTTTTGGATGAAAGATCAATTTCAGCAAGATTTTCTATTAACCGCAGGACATTGTGCCTATCCCTATAATGATACCTCACCAAAATTGTTTTATCGTTATTATAGTAATTTGGCTGTTTTAATTGGATCAATGGAGAATTATATGGTCACACCAGTTGATGTTGGTTTTATCAAAAAATTAACGGTAAACTCTCATATCAGAGTAGTACCAAATATACGGAATATCATCACTACAGGTGTGGTACATCCGATATATGTAGAGTATCTTATTATAGGAAGCGTAGACATAATTAGTGCTGGTATTCATATATGTAAGTCGGGTTTTGTAACCGGTATTACTTGTGGTTATGTGAAATCACTTGATGCAGTCATTACAATTAGACGTGGATCAGAAGATAAAATAGGTGGCTTAATAACGACCGCATACTCTTATTACGGTGACAGTGGCGGACCTATGTTTCAATTCAGTTACACGATACCTTTCGTATATGCAGTCGGTATACTTATAGGAGGTAGAAGCAATTCATATGAAGCTGAGTCATATTGTGAACCAATAAGAACAGCTTTTGAATATGGTTACACTCTTGTTCATTATCCACACTAAGCAGGAACGTAGATGTGTTACGCGTTATTTTTCAGTTTATGTTAATTATTAATTGTCATGTGTCATTCGTAGAAAATTATTGTAACATGTAAAAATATTAAAAAAGAATACTAACCTTTTTCAATATGTTTGGTGATGTCACGATTTTATAAAAACCGTGAGTGATGAGAATAATTGAGGCTAAGAAATATGGTAATTGGATAGATTCTGCATTATTATTTTATAATATTTATTATTTTTCTTTTATTTTTCTTTTATTATTTATTACTATTTTTACTATTTGTTTATCCAAAAAGAGAAAAAAAAGTGTATTGTAACGAATTAAATTTTTATTTTTTATATTATTGTAAATAGTTTCTTTATTTTCTCGGTAAAATATCCGCATGTATATAGTTTATTAGTAATTCCCCATCCATTCTGGTAACAATGCCCAA